TCTGCCGAAGGACGTGGATACGACGGCGACGTTGGATCTCAGCAAGGCTTCAATTCTGCTCATTGACGATGTGGCTAACATAGGCGCGACCGCTTCCACTGTGAACCGTCGCCAATCGGCGGATATGTCGTCGCAACAAGTCTCGCGACTGGCTGCTCAAGGCTTCGTCAGCATTTGCTACATTTCTTCGGCAAAGGTCACTGTTAAGGTTACAGAAAGTGAGGAGGATGGTGAAAAGCATGTCGATGTCGACCTACGTGACGACCTCCTCGTTCTGGAGACGTGTGCCGATTCCACTCAGACCCTCATCACTCTCGCAAACGCACTGAAGCCACCGACGCCACCTAGCAAGGAGAACAAGTACAGAACCAAGGTCGTTCCAGTTCAGGACCTCTTGGCCTCGATATCTGCAGAGGCGTTCGGAAAAGCCGAGGGCGATTATGATTTTGACAAGGACTTTGGGCTCGCCCAGGAGCTCGGTGGCGACGAGGGATTTGACGTCGCGAGTGATGAAAGCGCATTGCATATCGATTCGCAATATTACGGGGACGCCGGTCCTTCGGATACCCTCTTTGACGCAGATGGCTCGGTCACATCAATCGGAACCACAACTCAAGATACCCACGACGGAGTGCTACTTACCAGCTTCAATGCCAGCGCATCCACGCACGTGTCAGACGACGGTAGTGATCTCGTTATCGAGGACAACTTCTTCGACAAGGGACCGGATATCGACGGTAGAGCCCAAATCTGGAACTCGTCAAAGAACACCTACGACCGAGCCCCGAAGGACCTCATCAGGAAGGCTCCTCTTCGAGTTTCGATTCGTGATGTCCACGTTATTTGGAACCTCTTTGACGGATACGATTGGGAACGCACTCGCAGTGTTATTAGCAAGGCCGTGCAAGATGTTGAAGAGAAGGCTTTTGAACGTCGCCGACGCTCGGAACGCATTGCGTTCGAGGAAGACGCGGAAGAAGACGAGACAGTAATCGGTGACTTCCTTTTCAATTCGATTTACATCGGTATCTCGACGAAGCAAGACCCCCGGGAGCTGGCGCAGATGGTCAACCAGGAGTTGAACGACAATGCGACCGAAACAGAGTCTCTTGCTACGACGGCCTTCACAACAGCAACAGGTCGGGCTGGCGGTGCACAGAGACCAAAGAAGCGGTTGAGACTCAACAGGAGCAAGCACCACAAGATCACATTCGAGCTTCAGGGCGTCAACGTCGACCTGATTGCTTTCTCCCCCGACTCGGGGGAGACCCAGAGCTCCATCGATGTGCGCGTGCAAAACCTGGACGTCTTTGACCACGTCCCGACCTCGACGTGGAAGAAGTTCATGACATACGATCAGGATGCTGGCGAACGGGAGATGGGTACCAGCATGGCTCACTTGGAGCTTCTGACCGTCAAGCCCCAGCCGGATCTCGCGGCGTCTGAGATGGTATTGCGAGTGACGCTTCTGCCCCTGAGGCTTCACGTTGATCAAGACGCCCTGGACTTCATCACCAGATTCTTCGAATTCAAGGACGATAACGCTCCCGTGCACAGCTCACCCAGCGATATTCCATTCCTCCAACGTGTCGAGGTGCGCGACATTCCGGTCAAGTTGGATTTCAAGCCCAAGCGCGTCGACTATGCCGGACTCAAGTCGGGTCGAACCACCGAGTTTATGAACTTTATCATTCTGGACGAAGCTCGCTTGACTTTGCGTCACACCATCATCTACGGCGTCTCTGGCTTCGACAGGATGGGCAAGATTCTCAACGATATCTGGATGCCGGACGTCAAGGGTACTCAACTCGCTGGTGTTCTCGCCGGTCTTGCACCCGTCAGAGGCATCGTTAACATCGGCAGCGGGTTCAAGGAGCTGATTGAGGTCCCGATCAAGGAGTACAAGAAGGACGGGCGCATTGTCCGTAGCATCGGCAAGGGCGCCGTGGCCTTTGCGCGCACGACGGGAACTGAAGTGATCAAGTTCGGTGCCAAGCTGGCTATCGGAACGCAGTACGCCCTCCAGGGTGCCGAGGGCTTGCTCAACAAGCCGCAGACCGATAACACGTGGGAGGACGCCGATCTTGATCCAGAGGAGAAGAAGCAGATCTCCCTGTACGCAGACCAGCCTACTGGCGTGATTCAAGGTCTCCGCGGCGGATACTCGAGTCTTACGAGGGACTTGAATATGGCACGCGATGCCATCATTGCGGTGCCAGGCGAGGTTATGGACAGCTCCAGCGCGCAGGGTCTCGCAAAGGCAGTCTTGAAGCGAGCTCCAACCATCATTTTCCGGCCTGCCATTGGGGCCACGAAGGCTATTGGCCAGACTCTGATGGGCGCGACGAACAGCTTGGATCCGCAGAACAGACGGAGGGCGGAGGAGGTGAGTACTCCGGGAGCCTATTTCAAAATCATTGCTAACATTTGTCCAGAAATACAAGCGGCACTAGATTCCACAGCTTACAAGCACACGCACACGATACACCAGATACCAATACGGTGGTTTTACTTTGTTCAAGGAGCTCAGGTTTCACCCACCCAATACGACTGCATGAGACTGCATCATAGACTGGCGAAGGAGGTTTCTCGATCTATTTTCTCGACTTTTACAATGGGCTATGGATGTCACAGAATGCAAAGCAACGCAGGTCACAGAAAAGAAGCGTAATCATGAATTATACACAACAACACTTCTCTTCGAATGGACATGTTCACAAACCAAAACGTTGGCCTTGACGAAGGTGGGGGATGGTGGACGGATGGATGGATACCAGCAGGAAAGGCACTAGGTTCCTTCTTTTCCTCTTTATTTTTCAATGTTGCTCGCAGATAGTACAAAGGGCGGAGTCGTCGGACTTTGTTTGCCTCGAAAAAGGCAGTTTAGGCGTTTCAAACCACAGTTTATTTCAAACAGAAACGATCGCACAAATCAGAATCTGCAGCTTCCAGTTTGCGAACAAAAAACGGCTTATCAAGCAAAGTTGGTTGGTAAGGACGGAGTGATGATGCTTTGATTGGCAAAGCGGACTCGGGTGTTTCTAGGCGCCGGGATCTCGGAAACCGATGAGTGGGTGCCCCACATCCACTCTTGGCCCTTCGCTGTCGCTTCTTCGCCCTGGTCTACTTGGACTCCCCCCTACAGTTGTTTCTTCCATGAAGAAGTCTCGTGTCCGTTGCTGGTAAGAATAATATCGCTCACCTCTTGGTCATTATTATATGTTGTCCGTACTTGGTTCCCTTTCTCGGCTGTGCGTTGCTGCATGTAGTTACCTCGGGGCTTCACACGCGCGCGCTCGCGCGATTTCCCATGGATGCCGGGTTGTTGATCACGTCAATGACAAGCTGCACGTTGTGCAGCTCTGCCGCTGGCTGTGGTTGGCTCGAGCTGCTGTGCAGTGTGCAGCCTGCAGCTGTCTTAGCTGGCAGGGCCCCCGTCGTCCGATCTAAGATGTTGCAGGGGAGCACCCCGCCGGATGATTTCGCAAAACAAAAGAGGCTTTTATTTTATTTTATTTTTTATGTGCTGTATTCTGTGACTGTTCTAAGGCCCAGCACGAAAGACGCGAGCAGGCAGGGCGAGATTTCTAGGGCTGCAGCTGAGATGTCCGGGGTCACTTGAACAATCTTACGTGTTGCGGACCATGACATCCGGATGGTTACTTGATGGGCGGACGGGAAGAAGGGCTCGTTCGTTTCCTGAGTCGTGAGAGTTATCCAGGGTACCTAGAGCCGGCGACAACCGTTGCCATTCTCGGCGTATCAGAGGAACTCTGATATAGTCGTCCGCCTCGTCTCCGCCTATCACGACCGTCGCGACCGTCACGGTGTCAGCTCGGGGTTTCGTTCCTATGACTCTCTGCCCTGGTGGTGGTCCCATTTTGGTGAACGCTCTCCATGCCGTGTAGAGAAGGAGGTTAACGGGGCGTAGGCGGGCGGGCTTTGACAAATGGCAACTCTGGCAATCTCTCATTCCCAAGTGTCTTGAGTCCTTATCCGTTCCGATACGAAGAAAGAGAGAGATATCCTGTCGGCGGGGAGATAGATACACTGACTTGGTTACTTGTAGGGATACCTAAGTGCAAGCCCCAGCCCCCCTACCCATCGTCCCCGTTCCTGTCCGCTGTCCCTCCCCGCCGGCCCGCTGTCGCAAATGCGCCTTTGCTGCTTTCGCATTTTCTCCATTTGCAGCGCCGCCGGCTGGCCACAGCTCCTGGTGCTCCCCTCCCAAAAAGTCCGATGTAGCAAATATGATGGCGTCATCGGCGTTCCGGCCGATCGGAATCTCTCGCTGGTTATCAGCCTTTTTTTTTGGTTTCTTTCACCTGAAGACGGGACAGCCCCAAAGCTACGCGCAACCCGCGCGGACCCTTACCTAGTAGCTGGAGGGAGCAAAAATTCCCGTAACCGTACCGCGCGCCCTTTGAGGGTCTCTTCACAGAGTGGGAGGGAGGGAGGGGACAGGACCTAAGTTACTTTTGGGATCGGATGGGGTTTAGTTGACGCTACGACTCGTGTCGCATTTCTCATCTTTCTCGTGTGCTACTTGCTGTATAATTCCCCATTTTCGTCGAATGCTGATTTCCCCATTCCCCGGCCTTAAAGTTTTCCGGATCTGGTCGTTTCTTACCTTACCTTGCCTTACCTACCTGTCATCGTCCCTCCCACCCCTTGGCCTTGACTTCCTTCTTGCATCTTTACACATTCTTGTTCATCAGGCCGCATCTCGTGAGAAGGAACGTGTTCTTGTGTGTGTGTGTGTGTGTGTGCGTGTTACTGTCTCCCGGCGTGCGCAGACGGTCCCGTTGTTATCAATCTCGTCATTACCTGCTCTTTTGGTCACCCCGCCTCCACCATCGGAACCTGCCCCGCCGTGTCGCGCGCGCGCATCGCAAAGTCGCAAGCTGTCGCAAACCGAGCTCTGAAGCTGAAGCTCAAGCTCCGAGGCCAAGATCGCATCTTCAAGACGTGATCCTCCTACCATCACCACGACCGCAAACATGTCGGACGGAAAGCGCGCCGTTGACTCGGACAAGGGTTCGTCTCTCACTCTCACTCTCATCCCTCACACAACCAGATTCATAACGAACAACCCTCATCCTCAAAAGAGGCTATCCGCAACAACACAGAGCATACTCTCTCACTATTGATCCCCTCAAAAGCTAACAAGCATACCCAGTCTGGACGACCCTCATCACCAACCTAGACTACCTCTCCGGCCTCCTCACCCTCCACCACTCCCTCCTCAAGTCCGGCTCCGCGTACCCCCTCGTCGCGCTCTACACAGACACCTTCCCGGCCGAGGGCCTCGCCGCCCTCGAGCGCCGCGGCATCCCCGCCCAGCGCATCGAGTACCTCCTCCCGACCGCCGGGCGCGACTACTCCAACGACCCGCGCTTCTACGACTGCTGGAGCAAGCTCACCCCCTTCAGCCTCGACCAGTACGCCCGCGTCGTCCAGCTCGACAGCGACATGCTCGTGCTGCGCAACATGGACGAGCTCATGGAGCTCGAGCTCGACGACGGCGACTTCGCCGCCGAACACACCCCCGCCGAGCTCATCGGCGCCTCGAAGCGCGTCGACGCCGAGAGCGGCTACGGCTCCGGCGAGGACGGCAACGGCAGCGAGCTCTCCGCCGCCGCCGGCAAGCGCAACCCCAGCGTGCGTGTCTTCGCGGCCGGCCACGCGTGCGTCTGCAACCCGCTCAAGAAGCCGCACTACCCCAAGGACTGGACGCCGGAGAACTGCGCCTTCACGACGCAGCACGGCACCCCCGAGGAGGCGCAGCGCGTCGGCCCGGACCCCGTGACGGCGAGCCCGCTGGGCTTCATGAACGGCGGGCTGCAGGTGGTCAACCCGTCGAAGCGGCTCTTCCGGCAGATCGTGCAGCACATGGAGCAGGGGGCGATGGACATGGACTTTGCGGACCAGAGCCTGCTGTCGGAGCTGTACCGCGGGCGGTGGGTGCCGCTGCCGTACGTGTACAACGCGCTCAAGACGCTGCGGTGGGAGGGGGTACACGACGAGATCTGGAGGGACGCGGAGGTGAAGAATGTGCATTATATCCTGGCGCCGAAGCCGTGGGACGAGGTGGATGCGGAGGGCAACTGGACTGGCAAGGAGGAGAGTCATCGGTGGTGGGTCGATTTTAACAATGATCGCAAGGCGTCGGAGAGGGCTATTGGGGTTCATGACGGGTTTTGAGGCTTTGGACATGGTCCTTTGTTGTTAGTAATGATGGGCTTCTTTTGATGGGATGTGGAAGAGAAGATAATGGGGAAAGGAACACATTGGAAAGACGATTTAGACGGGATAAGGGATGTTGAGACGATGTCCTCGTGGACTATTTGAGATAATACCCAGGTATTAATCATGCTGCAAGAAAAAAGATGTTTTTGCGTTATTGGACTGGAAGGTGTGGTATAAATTCTCCGTATCTACATGTTGTGATGATTTCCGGCAGCAGAATCATGGTCACTGACATCAGCCATGCAACAGACACTGCGTCTAGACAGTGTGTGGGCGCTGAGAATATAGCCAACAGGGCGCATACCATGCGCTTCATTGTGACATGTGAGACGTTCCTGTCCACCCGTTCTATCCACTGTGTATTACTGGGGAATACTCACGTGTTGGCTGGTAGCATTCTGGTCATAGTTGTGAAGACACGCCCGCACGCAACACGTGTGAACCAAAAGCCAAGTCTATGACAGGTACCCGGCGGCGAGAGCGCTCACATACATTTGTTTGTAGAGTAAAAGCCATAGTTCCAACAACGACTATATAGTCGTTTGTGTCTGTCAGGGAGCCACATTCAAGGCAAGGCATAGCAAGGCTTCATATCCCCTTCGAGTCTATAAGTTTGGGCTCATCCAGTCCGTGTCCAATGACTCCAACAATCAATAGCTCTGTGGCATCGGCTCCTTGATTGAATCTGCCACTCGGCGCCGAGATCAACTGGGATATCAGAACAATCTTTAGGGAGTTTAGCAGAGCCTTTCGTTTAGGAGATGGCAAGACTACCTACCAAGCAATCGTTAAACCAGTACCAATGTCGTCCTTCACCTCTGCTCGGTGAATATAACAGGATGTATTTAGACCCAACTCAACTGTGTCATGTTTCGTACGTCTGTCTTTTGATATTTGTGGTGTTGTCAGATCCTTAGAAACGGCTATACTCAGACTAGACGTGTGACCCCTGCGATACTTATTGCTGGGAGAATACCAACCCAGTGATTGTTCTATTTATGCTTCACGACAGAATTCCAACTTGGCAGTCTGAAGCCATGCCTATCAGCCTAAGTGCCAACCACTCTGAAGTTGCAAAGGCCTCTCTCATCCGGTGGTAAACGTCACGCAAGGATTCTTTCAAACAGTCTCGCCAGACCAGAACTTACTCAGAAACGTATGTGCCATTACCAAATAACCCAAAATGCAATGGGAATATTCAAGGTAATAAGGGTTCAGTCTCTCAGTTCTACAAGGTCCACAATTTGGATGGTCTGCGCACCCATTTCATGAACAAACTCTGCATGGGTTGGCGGGTTTTGAGTGATCATCTTCAAGCGCCGACGGCACCGTATCTCTAGATATTAGCAGTATGAGTCTCAGCGTAAGTCTCAGCTTCTCGCCTCTCTCTACTCATCACTACCAGCTGGCCAGTTTTCTTCGGCTTCAGGACGGCCCCCAGGCGGCAAGCTGCGAAGAAGAAAAGTTAGAAGGGAAGAAAGATTCGCTACAGACGAGCAACAGATTGCTAGACCTGACATCTGTTCTCAGTATCAACGGGTTGCTTTATTGCCGGTTGTCTACCACGATTCCCGCTTCAATCTGCGAGACTGAACTGAGAACTCTTGTGATGATCAACGAGGGATTCGGTGGTAACCAGCAGAGACTCAATTCTGTCGAACACTTGAACCCAGCGTTCTGACTTCCAATAGCCATTATATCTACGGTCATCATGGCTAATTTGAACACACTGCCAACCTTTGCAACTCTGAGGACGAACGAGATCCCGTCCGTGGACAAATAAGAACAATTATCGGGCTCCTGCAGCTCTCAGTCGCTCCACAACCTCGATGTGGCCCGCCTCTGATGCTACTCGTAGAGCAGTCTGCCCAAATTCAGAAGGGTTAGCATTAATGTCAGCCCCCGCAGAAAGTAACCGCTCTACAATATCAACACCATGCGCTGAAGCGGCTTGTAAAGCAGTCCGTCCATGTTTAGAAGGGTCGGCGTTTACGTTGGCCCCCGCAGAAAGTAACCGCTCCACAACTTCGATGTGGCCACCTTCTGAAGCTGCTTGTAGAGCTGTCCGCCCACTCTCATGAGCAGGATGGGCATTAATGTTGGCTCCTGCGGAAAGCAACAGCTTCACAACATTAATATGACCACATCCTGATGCTGCTTGTAGAGCAGTCCGTCTATAGTTAGAAGCGTTTACGTTATTGACGTCAGCTCCCGCGAAAAGCAATAACTCCACGACATTGATATGACCACGTTCTGATGCTGCTTCTAATGCAGTCCGTAGAGAGTTAGAAGCGCTTGCGCTAATGTTGGCTCCCGCGGAAAGTAATAACTCCACGATATTGACGTGACCAACACCTGAAGCTGCTAGTAGTAGATCTTTCAAGTCGATCCTAGCCGCATGAGTACTCTCGAGTAAAGCGCTCGCCAATTCCACATCACCATCAGTTGCACAGCTTTTTAAGACCCCCTGTATGTTTGCATCATCTATCTTGCCAAGACGTCCAAGGTATCGGATGAGAGCAAAATGACGGTTTGCGAAACTCCAAGGCAAGATGTTGGAGTTTAAATCTCCTGGCTCTTCTTGGTTCAACCAGGGTAACTCTGCCAGACCATGATTTTGAGTGATAATATGCTGCCATATACCCCATGTCGAGGACGTACGATGCCTGAATCGAGTGGTGTGGGAAATCCAGTGTACTGAAGCGTACTTGATAAAAGGATAATGGACTTGTAGCGTGTTTATAGCTTTTGCATCGTCCGACCTGTTGTATGTAGCCAGTATTCCAGCCGGGTCAGTCTCAGCTTGGACACTCTTGCGCATTGTGATAACGGCGCTACTGATTGACTTGGGCAGGTTCCATGAGTTCTTCAATGCCGAATGAGCCATACTGGTTGGGTGGATTTTGACTGGTTGCGACCGTCGCGTGATTGTTGTCACAAAGTCGCTGAAGTTCAGGTAGGTAACGCAAATTTCACCAGCATGATGATCGGCATCCTCTGGCTTGAAATGAAACTCCGCGTAGTCGGGTCCCGATGATCCCTCGACGATGAACTTGTGAACTGCCTTGTGGGCAAACTCTGCAGTTCTCGATTCTTCATCAACACGGACGAGATTTTCGCACCACATCGGCAGACGGTCTATACCATTGACTAGCTGTCCCGGATTGGAGGATGGTTGGCGGACTTTCATAGAGATGGCTTCACGGAGCTCATCCAGTGTCAAGGGGCGTTTCGCTATAGCAATCCATTGAAAGGCTTTGTTTGCGATTGCAGATTTGCCCTGCTTCATGATGCGATGGAGGGCTTTGCTCAGCGTCTCAGTCAAGGTCTTTGGAAGACGTTCCACGGCGTCTTTTATATCGTCGTCGCAGGTTTGGGCACAGATTTCATCTAATAGGAAAGTAACCCAGAGAAACCTCATCCGTCAGTAAGTAGCATAGAGTACAGTCATTATCAACTTACATTCCGTCCGCACGATTAATAAGAGCCTGCCTGATATCATCAACAATAGATTGGTCTTGAACCATAAGATCTCCGTTCTGCTGTCTTCTTTGGAGTGTCTCTTGAACAAAAGTAGCAATGTCGATCTTGGCCTCCGGAGATGCCATCGAAACTATCTCAATGGTTGGAATTTGGTCTCTAAGTTCGCCCGACATGCTTTCACGGCCAGAAACGAAGACTCTTAAGCGCGACCCGCAGGCAACTGAGACCAGAGAATCGAGGAGCGCCCGTCGTTCTGCCGGCTCAAACTCATCTAGTGCGTCGATAAAGATATAGAATGTGTCAGACTGGTCGATTGCCTGTCGAAGAAGCGATGTTAATTCGCCCAGCTCTGAGGAGGGTTTCCGATCCAGCTCTGTTAGGCGTGCTTCCCAATCGCTAGACAGTCTCACTGGGTCGAGTGACTGTCGGATAATCGACCGAAGTGTAGCCTCTGCAGATAGCGATGTCTGATCTGCGAAATGAGGGAAGAAGAATGTGACATTTTCTCTGGCCCTACGCTCGTGCGCATAAATATGTTCGACGGCACTTGCACTTGAAGTAGGGTCAATAGCTGCCATAGTTAAAGGGTTTTCCAATTAAGATTTAACTTACGTGAGGACTGTCTTGCCAGATCCAACTATTTTGAATTAGTAAAGTTGAAGTTATTCTTCATTTGACGTACTTTTGCCTGAACACCACAGCCATGGCGAAGAAAGTCCTTCCTCCCATTGAGTAAAAGCATTTGATTGGAAAATCCATTCTACAGTTTTAGGGTGCCTTAGTTTGCAGGCTTTCTTGAAATGTGTAAGGTAGTCGTAAGACGATAATGAGTTGAGAAGCTGACGACGGCTTTGCGCTACAAGTCTGTCAGCCTATTTTTCAGCATTATTTGCAGCTATGAAGAGCGACTTACCCGCTCGACGGATATCTTGCTGAATCTGGTCATTCTTGATTGTGTCGAGGTCGCTTCCTACTCGTGAGAATAACTGCCTGACCTTATGCCTCTCTTTAGATGCCGCTTTCCTCTCCATTTCCTGGAGTCTTTGGTCCTGGTGGTCGGCCCTCGCTTTTGCAAGTTTGATTTCTTGCTTTGCCTCAAGGCCGCACCTTCGAATCATTTCTAGGTCAGGGTTGAACTCCTGCTGAAATGACTTCAAGAACGCGTTTCGCAGATGTGTTTGCCCTGCATCGGGTTAGCGATGTTTAGTTAACGTACTAGAAACTATGGGTTTACTTACAAGGTCGTTGTATTGCTTGGATCACATGCTTGCAGCAATAGATAATTGATGCGTTGAAATCGCAGACAGCCTTCTGCAACCCAGGCGAGTTCGGAAACAAGGCTTGGTACTGAGCAAATCGGGGGCAATCTCTGGAAAATTGCATGAAGAGGTCTGAGACTCGTTCATAGTACGAAGTGAAGTTTAGAACCACCTAACCAAAGTTAAATTGTCTCTAGTATGTAGTAGTAAAGATCTTGCTGTACCTGCATCGTCAGCTTCACGCTCCCCCAGACTAGCGCAGCAATCTCCGGGTGCGAGGAGATAAAGGTGTCTATGATAACAGAAGAATCGCGGACATATTGCAGGACTGATATAAGTCGGGTGCCCTTGTTGGGAGAGTTTCGCTGAGTGGTGGACCAGTCTAGCTGGGCTGTGAAAACGAGCGCAGCGTCAGCATCAGGGATACCTTTGAGTTTGTCGAGGTCTGAAAGCTGATCATCGTTTAAAGTCTTCCGGAACTCGCTGACTGCATCTTGTAGGCCCTTTGTAGGTGTGACCTGCGATGTTGCGGAAGAAAACTTTGTAGCTAGTTCCATGGTAGTTGCTGGCCTTCGATATGCGCAAGTTCACGTTGGAGGTTGGAGGGTAGAGGAGGCTTATGATGCTTGTCAGAGCGGGGTAATTGGCCAGATGCATGCTCGCCTAGCCTAGATATGATAGAAAGAGCACAGCCTGATTTTGACCACCCTTGGGTTTTTTTGGCCCTTGTTTTAACGAATAGCGAGTCTTGTTGGCGACTCGATTTGGAAGATAAACCAGAGGTTTTCGCCGATCTCTTGCACTGCAGTTCACTCATACAGTTCACTCACACAGCAACGAACACGAGAACGTATTCCATGACATCAAATGACAGAATTCGAGTCTGAAAGTTGCGAGAACTGAGCTTCATTGGTCTTCATGATGCCATGCCGTAGATGATTGGAATAAAGTAGAGCCTGGCCAAGAGAATTAGTGCTGAAGCCAATACCATGCGCCAACCTAGCCTTCTCTTTTCAGGGCGTCCATCATCATCATCATCATATTCCTATAATCCGTTTTTCGTCACCGTGGGCCCCTCATCGCACCCATTCCAAGGGATTTCAATGCCACTGATCGCTCCAATCAAACCCGGAATTCACAACGATGAGTCTAAGAGCCAACATTCTGCAAAACGTATGTGGTAAGATCTTTGCCTAGGTGTTCCTATCTCTCAAGACGAACGGGTGAATTGAATATCAAATCTTTAATGAAGTTGTTGGTTGCAAGTATAGGCTCTCCCAAACACGGCAATGAAACTTCTTGCCATTGTAAGGTGTTCCGGACGTGGCGTGAGCACTCTCTAGGCTTCATCACAACGCTACGATTGAAATGTCTTACCATCAGAAAGGCAGAAATCACTGAAAACTTGAGGAAGGGTTAGTTACGTAAAATAGCTGGAATGGTGATATTCAGTGCAGAAGCAGATCGTGAACTGGCAAATTCCTACGGCTGCAAGACCGGCCATCTGTCTCACGACTTGGAACCCGATGACCCCTTTAGCAGCTTGTGCTTCGTATGAGTTGGCCCTGTATCTGCATAAGTGACAAGCAATCGTAGTATATTATCCCACACCTGAATCAGCCGGCTGGTTCCCGCCAAGCAACAGCCCACGTCTATCTGGCGATATCGCTCGAGACCAGTTCGCACCTCTTAGAGGCACACACCCTTACCTAGTCTGTAATGTAATACGACATTCCAAACCGAAACGGCACATGGGCGTTCTATCAGGCTGTTGCGACTTTTCCCTTGAAGATAACAGCGACACATGTCACTTCCGGTCTTAACGCCGGAGACGGGAACGGCAGAACATCAACTTCGGCGCCGAAACCCGGTGAGAAGTGGATTTATCGGCCCCTGCGACCCGGCGCCGAGCCCCGTCAACCTCCGTCTTCCGGAAGCCTCTAGCCCCAGATCGATCGATGGCTACCCAACAACGGCAACCGCGGCTGCCCATTAATTCCAAAAACCCAACATGTTCTGCCCGCCTCGCCACCCCCTAACCTCCATATCAGTGCATTAACGCTGAAGGCATCGTCGACAATAGTCTCCCAGCCCGCGCGCGCAATCTCGCAAGCCAAGCCAAATCGCGATGTTTCGAGCGTTTTCCGCTTTTGCTGACCTGCAGTCCGCGAGACGGAATATCCAACACTTCAGCCTCCACTTGGGGCACATAAACTTCTTCCCGTCTCTGGATGGATGCAACCACGGCACACTTCCGACCCACGACGACGACGCGCGCCTCACCCTCTTCAACCCCTGACGAGCCATAGAGCAGATCCAAAGGAGAAATAACGACAGGTGCTCGGAGTCTAGAACCAGATGGCAGATCTATTGCCTCACTCTCCAACACGCCCTAAACCTGTAAGGTGCCTGGCGTGTCATTGGCAAGGGAAGTGGGCGTGGCGCCGTCCGAAGGAAAATGATGTTCGGCGCCGTCGACGATCATCCTCTTTTGGCGTGGGAACATCGCGCGTTCAGCCTTCTCGTGCCCCCGTGACGAATAGCTCATGCGCCCGCCCCTCGTCTGCTTTGGGCTACCCCTGCATCACCGTCCGTCGCCCGGACGAACCGGTTAGCCGCGGTTCCGTGGTGGCGCGCGAGAGGCTGCGTACGGCACGATGTTGCCACGCGTATGGGAGGTGGGAGAGGCTTGCAGCGCAGGGCTGGCGATATTGGGGGGCCATGAGGTGTGTGTGTGGGCTGAAGATGTCCATCATTACTTTTAGCCCCCCCGGCATGTCTTAGGTCCGTGCCGCTGAGGAATCAGGACGGAAAACGTGTGAGTCGCATGTAAGTCCGGCCAGGAACGTCGGGGAACCAACGCCGGGGGGATGGTTTTATTCGACGAGGCCTTCGACGGCTAGTCTCACCTACATGTTCGTTGAGGACGCCGGAACGAAAACGAAGGGGGCAGACTATGTGCTAAGCTTTGCGACCGGTCGGATAGATGGGGGAACGCGCAGCGCGCGTCAGCCCTGGTTTTCCATCCCATTTTCGACGACCGGTGTGAAGACGTCTGAGCGTTCATGGCAGGATATCCACGCTACGCTGCCGCTAATGTGGTCTCGCGGATTCAGACAGTTCGCGGTGCGAACTAGCTAGTGTCTGTTGTCATCTCGACGTCGTTTGGCAATCCATTCCCCCCCCTCAGCCGTGCGTTGGAGAGACACCCGGGCTTCTTCTTTCGTTGGGCGATTTCATCGGGTTTCCTATTTTGTGACGTCTGATCTTGGTCGATGGCAACCCTGTACTTTCCAACCCCAGGTCCGATCCGAGCGAGGTGGTGTGCTCTGGATCTACCGCCGGTTCCGCGTCCGATCCCCCCCCTGTGCTTTCATGGCTAATTTGCCCATCTCGATGCACAAGTGGCGCGACAGTCGATGAAAGAGGGAACTTGGTTACAGGGCTGATTTGGGGTGAGGCGTGCGGGCGTGCGTTGCACCCTCCTTCGTGAAGTGGCGCGCCTCTGTCAGTAACAAGGACCATGATGCTGGGACGGCGCGGGAGCTAATGCAGGAGGTCAGAAAACGTCGGCGGGGAAGCGGTTCCGGTGCGCCCGGTGGGTGGGGGTGGAGGACGGCAACAGGGGCGGGGACGCGGACACAAACCCTGCCAACCCCGGGACTTACAGCAGCCGGGCGGACGTCGAGCAGCACATTGGGCCGAGCAGAGATGGGATTCAGAGACCCCGTTCTAGCCCTGCCCTCGAGGGGATTCGGCAGAGGGCCGATGTAACGGCGCCGACATGGAGAAGCACAGGTGGGTTATCAATGTTCGATGTGCGAGTGTCTGAGCGGTGATGATCGGGGCGGGATTGATGGGTTATTGCTGCTAATGAGGCCGACGGGCGCCGCGAGGGGTGGCATTGCTGGTGAGTTCGGCATGTTGAAGGTCGGCGATTACTGGTCTTGGTAGTGGTGTTCTTGGACGTGGCCGCGACGAATTTTGCCTCAGGGACAGGTCCAGTGGTTTTGATATGCCAGAGCTGAGCTGCGTTGCTAGATTCAGAATGCTACCTTTGGGATGCGCGCGCTATGCTTTCCCGCGGGGGATGTCTTTTGCTCGGATGTCCATGTTGGAGATCTCTGTAAGTCATGGCGCTCAATGCTACTATGTCGATGAAGCGGAGGAAATGTTGACATGCAGGGGCAAGCTTGTGAGTTTCGTGAGGCATCCGATCTTTGCAACGTTACGTAGCTGAACTTGGCATGAATGTCGAGAAGTGCAGTCACATCACAGGCACGGATTGGCACCAAGTCAATACAGCTAATTATGGATATGGCACGCCAAGCGCCCTGAGATATTTCCAGTATCAATAAAATCTGTATGAGATCTGGGTGGGCAAATCAACGCGTCATCTGAACGTGATTTGCTTCCCCATCAAGCTCCTAAAAGCATCGTCGAGAGCCTTTCGTTTACGGCCTTTCTCCTCTTCATCCTTGTCGATAGGATCCAAGGTATCGTCGTCTCTGTCTGGCCCTGACAGCCGCGGCATCCAAGCTCGAATCTGGCCGTCTAGGTGGGCGGTGTACACTGCACCGCATGAGCTTCCTCCGCCCATGATTGGCCCCTTTTGTAGTCTGTATCCCGCGTGTCCGCGCCATACAATATCCATGGTGCGGTTTTGGACGTTGATACCTCCAATGCCCTGAGCGCCTGCTGCTGTGGATGGCCCTGGAACGCGTAGGCGAGATACCAGATTGCCCTCATGCAGATCCATGACCAGGATCTCGTTCTCGTTCGGCCAGAGGAGAAGATCTCGACGAATAGGTGTGAGTCTGGCCGGAGTGACAAACATACTGACCGTCTTTGGTTGTCGATTCTGGATCATAGAGCCGAAGGCCGCCAACGTGTTCGCCCCCGTGGCAGCATCCCAGACGCGTATGCGACGGTCAAGGCCAGCAGAGATGATGTACTTGCCGTCGTCAGACCATGTAAGTGCGTTGACACCTTCGTTGTGAGCCTGGGCCGCGCTGCGAAAGTGCGGCATCTGATTCCAATCCATGCCGCAGGCCTTGGCGTGGTTGAAACGGTGGACGACACCCAGGTGATCCTCCTGGTCGAGCTGGCCAATGAGGCCGGAAGCGCGCCTGATGTCCCACAGGCGGACCTTTCCATCGAAATGGCCGGTGGCAACGACATGTTCATGGCGAGGACTCCAGGCTACAGATAGCACAGCGCCGCCCTGGGAGACTAGGGACTGGACCGAGGACCCGGACTTGAGGTCGACAAGGCGAACGGATGAATGCTGCGTGGCACAGGCGACGAGGAGATGATCGGCAATAGGACTGGTCGCATGAGTGTAGATGTCGGCGTTCAGATCGAAGTTGGCAGAAACTACCATCCTTTCGGTAGACCATAGCTTCAGTGTGCGATCAAAAGAGCTTGAAAGGAAGGCGTCCGAGTCGAAGGGGAAGAAGTCGAGGTGGGTAACGCCATTCTTGTGAGCAATGCCATTGTCGCCGACGGAGCGAGAAGCATTGGCAATGGGCTCAAAGGTGTAGGAAGAGTTTGGATT